CACTGGGTTGGAATGTTTTCTTGATGTGCACTTACCCTTTATATAAAACTCTTATACATGAGTTTCTGTGGATTTGTTTCTCTAAAGTATCCAGACTAACACAATATCTATCTTAGAGGAAATACAATCAGAATGTTCCTTAGAAGCAAGGATGGAGAAACGTGGTCTTATGTACTTGTGACACGGTATCAGGAGAAACTTGTCCCTGGAAAAGTACACCCTGATTGGGAAGTAGAGGGTCAGAGAACAAGAGAAAGACTCTCAATGGAAACAGGTTGAAATGGCTACAACAATGGGCCCAAACATAACAACAATTGTGAGTTTGGCACAGGACTATGCAGTGTTTCCTTCTGTTGTCCTTGGCATCACGGTGTGTTGAAGACAATTCAATGATACGCAACAACAAAACCCCAGCTTCAATAGATTCTCTCATCTACCATCCATTGACCTATTCACCATTCCACACAGCCACCTACCACCAATCCTCCCAGCCTCCCATCAACTCCCTCTGCTCTTCTCCTTTCCTTCCATTTGCTCATTCATATCTACTCACCCACTCAGTTTTCCATCTACACATCTACTCTTTCAAATATCCGTATATCCATCCATCCATCCATCCATCCATCCATCCATCCATCCCCTCTCCCTAATATCTACCTACCCAGCCATCATGCCATCAGGCTAAGTAATGGGGACCCCAGCAATAAGAGAAAGGCATCATTCTTGCCCTGTGTTAGGTGAAGAAGCGGCACAATGGGGTGCTAAGTAGTAGAAATCACCATGTAAAGGGAGCTGTGGTGAGAAATGATGCTATCAGGGAGGGATTAGCCCAGAGAGAGAGAGAGAGAGAGAGATATTTTACACTGAGGTGACAGGGAGTGACATAACTAGAGACTCCATGTCTCTCACTTTCATAAATGGTTATTTTGTGACCTTAGAAAAATACCACATTCTCCTCTAAAATAAGGACACATGTACCTAAGAACTAGGTAAAACTGCCCCCCTCCACTACACCCCCTAAAAAAAACCCCAGAAAAGCCTCACTGCCATCGAGTCAATTCCAACTTATGGCAGCCCTATAGGGCAGAGCAGAACTGCCTGTGGGTTCTGAGGCTGCACGTTGTTACGGCCCCAGAAAAGCCTCACTGCCATCGAGTCAATTCCAACTTATGGCAGCCCTACAGGGCAGAGCAGAACTGCCTGTGGGTTCTGAGGCTGCACGTTGTTACGGGAGCAGAAAGCCTCATCCTTTTCCTGAGGACAGGCCCGTGGGTTCAAATTGCTGACCTGCAGTCAGCAGCCCAATGCAGACCCACTACACCCATTAGGTAAGACAGGTCGTATTTCATTAAACACATGATTCCCTTAGGAAGAATAAATTAAAAAATTAAAGTTAAGCTTCTTGCTTATGTTGTTTACTGGGTCTCACTCAGACCCTATACATCAGGGGTCCTCAAACTTTTTAAACAGGGAGCCAGTTCACTGTCCCTCAGACCTGTTGGAGGACCGCACTATAGTTTAAAAAAAAAAAACTATGAACAAATTCCTATGCACACTGCACATACCTTATTTTGAAGTAAAAAAACAACTGGGGCAAAAACACCTGGTGGGCTGGATAAATGTCCTCGGCCGGCCGAATGTGGCCCGCGGGCCACAGTTTGAGGATGCCTGCATAGTAAATACTAAAAAACAAATAAAAATTTTAAAGCTGGTGATTGGCAGGTCTTGGGTCCAGAAACCCACGTAGCTGTTAGCAAGCCCTGGAGGTTCCTTGATTCAAACCCCAAGCTTGCCTCTCGGAACACTGCGTGTGAGACCTTTTGCAGGAAGTGTGTGGAGAGCTGGATCCAGCTGTACCTGCAGCCCGCAGCCTCACACTCCTCTCCAGTGACAGCTCCCTCCCCACCTGTGCCCTTAGACAACAGCACCTCGCTTCCTCTTCTCAGATTTTACCTCACTCAGCCTGGATGAAATTCACGGGCATCAACAACCTGACCTGTAATCTTGGGACGAAGAACTAGTTTGGAGTTTGCAATTGGCCATATTTTGAAGGCTTTAAACGGCATGCGAAGGAAGTCTGTTTTTGCAAAGGTGGACTCATTCTATTGAAAGTGAGCTACGTGGTGGGCTCGTCTCCCTTCCTGTGATATGACCATCTTTGCCCCCCTGTCAGCTTTCAAGCATCCGCTGCAGCTTGCTTCAGCAAAAGTGAGACCCTCCCATCCCCAACTGGAGCCCCGCTTTAGCATCGACTCCAGAATTAAACCTAAGCTTGAGAAAAATAAATCTTCATTAACCCCTTCTCTTTCAAAAAAAAAAGTTATCCATGAAGCTTTATTCTGAAAAACATTTTCAAAAGTTCATTTCTGAAGAGATAATTTGTAGCTTGGGAACCACGGGTAAGGGTTTAATATCCAGAAGAGATAGAACATTCCTACAACTCTGCCAAAAGACAGACCACCTGGTTAAACAGCAAACAGCCCAGCTGTGTCAGCAAAGAATACATACAGGTAACCAACAAGCTCAACATCAAAACCACCACGACTACCGCCTCGCACCACTAGATTAATCCAGGGAACGGAAGGAAAACCACAGGTGGTGGCGGCGATGCGGAGACATGAGACGTCTCAGTCCCTGCCGGTGGGCATGCAGATTGGCACAGGCGCCGTAGACAGTGTGGGTTTCCTCAGCACGTTCGACAGCGTATGACCCAGTGACCCCAATCATGGGTGCATACCCCAAAGAGCTGCGAGTGGAATGCAAACAGATCACTGTTCATGGTCCCACTTTTCCCCACAGCCAAAGGGTGGGAACGACCTAGACGTCCACTAGCAGTGAGTGGACTGTGCGGGGGCGTCGTGGAATATTACTCAGTCGTCAAGAGAAAGCAGCCTGATGCTGAGTGAAAGACCTCAGTCCCCAAAGGTCAAGCGGCGTCTGATCCCACCCGGATTCCACAAGCAGACAGGGAGAGAGGCCAACACCTGTTAGAGGTGGGAGGGAGGAGTCAGGGGGAGTCCTTGCTTAGGGAGCACTGGGGTCTTTCTGCCCATGGTGGGGGATATACTGGGGAAAGAGGGCGGCCAGGATGGCACCAGTCAACGGACCCCCTGAATTGTACATAAAACGTGGAATCGACAAGCGGTTTGTTAGATACATTTTTACCACAATAAAATATCGTTTTACAATAAAAAAGGAGTGGAAGTGAGCTGTAAAATGATGAAGTCGAATTTTAATAACAATGGCAGAGTCATTAGATCGTCTTCATCACACGATAGGGCCATTTACTCGGAGAAAGTGGCCACGTACACCCGGCCCCCCCTCCCTAAAGTCACCACCATGCACACTGTGCTTCCAGAATGCGGAAGGTGCCAGGTGATAGCCCCCAAAAGGCCGTATGGACAACAATTTAGGTGGCCACTGGGGACTGAAAAGCGAGAGCGTCCAGCTCATCAGCACGCTGAACATGGTGACGGATACGCTCGGGCAGAACCCTCCTTTCCGTTCCTTCTCTACTTTTCTAAATGAAAATGCCACTTCCCACGTGGAGTCGCCTAGGGTCACCTTCCCTTCTGAATGGGCCCGTTTCTCGCTGTCGGTCTCTGGCCATTTGGGTCCTCCCTGATGGCCCATTTGTCCTCAGCGCCGCCTGGGCTTCCTACGAGAGCGGAAAGGCCCATGGCCACCTGAGAAGTCCTTTCCCGTGAGCGCAGAGCCCGCTGACATCCCCCCACCCCACCCCGAGAGCAGGCACCCTCGATGCGCTGCCTACGCTCCCCGCTGGGTGCTGGGAGGGGCGCCACAGGCCCGGGCGGTCCAGAGGGTTCTGCCTCGCGAGGGGGTGAAACGGAAGCGATGACACCTGCCCAGGTGACCCGGGAGCGCCGGCGGAAGCCTGGGGCAGATTCGGGGGTTCCGAGCGGCTGCCCTCGGCAGAGCCTGGGGGTCTTGCACTCAGGGTTGGAGAAGGGGGTTCACTATCAGCTCAATTACGGTAAGTCGACATCAGACGAGAACAAAGGTCTCCGTGTCAAGTCCAGCCCGATCGGGGCGCTCTGATCCCCCGGGGCCTAAGCCGCGGCGCTCGCGGCGGCCGAGCACGGGCAGCCGAGCGAGGCCCGGGAGGTAAGGGTGGTTGGTACCTGTAGATCCAGACAGGAGGCATCCCTGGCCAGGCTGGGTCCCTGCCTGCCGCGTGCGCACCTCGGCCCCGGCCCCGCCACCCCAGGCCCACCGCCGCCGCTGCAGCATCACCCCGCGGGGCGGGGCCGTGACGTCACGCCTGCATCCCCGCCGCCCGCGGGCCGGTACCCGCAGAGCATCCTTAAAGCTGCACCGCCGGGCGGCTGCCGAGTGGGGCGCGGCGGGTCTCCCAGCCTCCCCAGCCTCTCCTCTACGGACCCGGGAGAGTAGGCTGGCTCGATCAGAAAAACTCAGACAGACGCACGGCCGCACTTTCCAGGACCCTGGACATTTTTTGCCCGGGGTGGGGAGAAGCCTTCCTCCATAAAAGACGTCAGTATATTCATAACTAAAAATGCGATTGCTACCACCTTTTCCATCTAAAGGAAATTGTGCTTGTTCGGTGCAATGAAGTGGATTGCGCCTGGAAACACCCTCGTGGGACAGACAGACTGCGCCTTAGGGATTACCAGGGCGGCCAGACGCACAAACAGCAGCCTAGGGAGAAGTACAGCAAGACGGCTGGCCAGACTGTCAGGAGGGGCCAGTTCCTGAAGAAGACTTAGAGCTTGGCCGGAAGAAGAGGGTCAGTTAACAGCTGAGCCCTGGGCTATTGGGCCATCCGCTGTCACATGACTGGACAAGCAAGGCAAACACCGGCTGACTTGTGCTTACTCGCAAATCTGTAGGGAACAATTTCAACCGTTTCCACTGTCTCCGAGAGCTGGCTCTGAGATCTGGCGGCCTCTCCCAACCCCACAGCACCTTCCTACAGAATCCAAGCCTACACTCTTCAAATCCCTGACATGTAAAGCACACGAGACTGTTCCGTACGGAGTAGTGACCAAGCACTAGTAACCAGTGCTTACCTTGTGTACTGAGAAATCCATGTCTACTGTCCCCAGGGGTTTCTGTGAATGTGTAAGGATTAAACATGAAAGCATTTTCTTTAACCCAGAAGGTTTTGACCTTCTTTCAGAATTTAAAAGAGGGTAGCACAGTTTTATAGGGACCCCAAAGTCTTGCATGGCCTTGGCCTGGGCCTGCTGAACCCAGTGGTCAAGTGAGCCCTGCCATGGAATTTTGCTCTGCTCCACTTCAAACTCAGAAACCCAAACTCACTGCCACTGAGTCAATGCTAACTCATAGGGACCCTACAGGGCAGGGTAGAACTGCCCCAGTGAGTTTCGGAGACTGGAACTTCATGGAAGTAGAAAGCCCTGTCTTTCTCCCAGTGGCTGGTCATTTCGAACCGCAGACCTGGCAGATCCCAGCCCAACGGAAAATCAGTAAACCACCAGGGCTCCATGCACTCGTGCAATAAGTCCTTCAGGGGCCAGTGAGGTACGGGGAGCCCAGCCGCGAAGAAAAGAGCAGTCTTTAACCACATGAAGTCACCTTTTAGGAGAGGCACACATTCAACAAGTCAACTCGATCAGGTGACTGTTGAGAGATAGGAACCACCCTGGTGGAACCGTGCGTGAAGTGTTGGGCTGCTCTCGGAAAGGCTGGCGTTTGAACGCACCGGCTTCTCGGTGGGAGAAAAATGTGGCAGTCCACTTCCAGAAAGATCTGAAACCTGGGACACCCTCAGGGACACCTCTCCTCTGCCCTATAGGCCATCACGAGTCATCATGGATTCGATGGCTGTGAGTGTGACCTGCTAGGAGAGAGTCACGGTTCTTGGAGGTGATTTGACAAATGGTGTTTGAGTGGAGAACAGGGGACTGCGGGGGAAGGGCAGCCTGTTCCAGGCCCAGCAGAGCCTTGGCGAAAGAGGAGGGATGGGCCTCAGAGCAGGGTGGGCCCGGGTGGACCCGGCCCACTGCCGTGAGCTGCTGTCCTTTTCTAAGACAACGAGGAGCCTAGAAGGGGGTTCCTTACATCATATCCAGATGTTGAAGAGACCACAAGGCTCAGGGTGGACAGTGGATTGGAGAGGAGCAAGAGGAATTGTGGGTGTGCCAGGTGGGGGCAGGGCTCAGGTGAGAGAGGATGATGGTGGAGGTGGAGGGCAGAGAGGGTTGGTTGGTGGTGGCGTGAGCGTGGGAGGTGGGGGAGGAATGTTGGGGAACTTCCAGCTTTTTGAGAGAAAAGCTGGGGTTTTTTAGAGAAAGGTGGGGTGACCATCCAGGTTTAGTTCGAACATGCTAATGTTGAGAGGCCTTTGAGGCAGCCGCACAGGATGTGGGCCAGGCTGTTAGAGGCGAGGCTCTGGAGAGGGCTTGTTGAGAATGGCCTGCACATAGGAGCTAATAGAAGCCCCGACTGTGGACAATGGGATCAAGGAGAGGTGCAGCTGAGAGGACCTCCCGTCCAGAGGCAGGAGAATGTGAATGGCCTCTGTAGCCTAGGGGAAGGCAGGAGTAGTTTAATGGTAGACTTTCATCTTCTCTGCTGAAGACTTTTGCTGATGGGAACTCGGCAGGGTGGCCCTTTATCACCACTTTTATTTAATATAGTCCTGGGAGTTTTAGCTGTAAGACATCAAAAGACTAAAGGTATCCACTTAGGCACGGAAGAAATAGAACTCTCTTTATCTCTTTATCCACAGATGATATAATTCTCTATATAGAAAACAGCAAGGACCTAATGTCGGGGGTTTAAGTGGAGAGAAAATGTTTTGAGAATGATGTACAAATGCGCTTTACACAATTGATGTGTGTATGGATTGCGATAACAGTTGTATGAGCCCCTAATAAAATGTTTTAAAAAAAAAAGAAAACAGCAAAGACTCAAAAAAATTACAGGAACTAGTTGGAAAATTTGGCAGTATAGCAGGCTATAAGATCAACATGCAGAAATCAGTAGGCTCCTTGTGTACTACAGTGGATGATCCCCCAACAAAGATATTTTAAAAACAATGCCATCTACAATAACTACACAAAAGATAAAACATTTAGGAATACATCTTATCAGAGAAACAAGAGACTTATAGCAGGAGAACCACAAACTATTTCTACAAGAAAACAAAGAAATTTATACAAATGGAACAAGCTACAGTGGTTTTGGATAGGCAGACTAAACATTGTGATAATGTCAATATTACCAAAAATACTTTACAAATTCAATGCAATTCCAATTCAATCCCCACCACGATTCTTCAAAGAAATGGAAACGCTAATCACCAGCTGTATATGGAAAGGAAAGAAACCCAGGATGAACAAAACACTATTAAAAAATAAAAACAAAGTAGGAGGCCTTTTATTCTAAGACTTCAAAACTTATTATATGGCCTGCTCTTGGTGCAGCGATAGATATGGGGACCAATGGATTAGAATTGAGAACCCAGAAATACAACCAAGTACCTATAGACACCTAATCTTGAAATACGGACTAAAACACAGTAAGTGGGGAAGAGCTAGCCTTTCCAAACATGGTGCTTGAAAACGGGATAGTCACCTGCAAAAGAAAGAAGCAGAAAAAAATAATAATAATAAAAAAAAAAAGAAAAGAAAGAAGCAGGACCCATCCACCACCCACCATGTACAAAACCAAACTCAACATGGGTCAAAAAGCTACGTATTGACCACACAACCATAGAGACCATCAGTGAAAACACAGAGACAAACTTAAGGATCCTAATACAGGCATAAACTGGACATAATGAAAGATGTCCACACTGTAGAAGACAAAGTAAAGGGCCAATATCTGCCTAAAAAAAGTATGACATTTCTGCACATCAGAAGACTTCATCAAAAGAGTTAAAAGAGAACCCAGAGATTGGGGAAAAAATATTTACTAACAATACATTAGATAAAGGGTTAACCTCCAAAATCGATAGAAAACTACAACATCTTAACAAGAAAAATATAAATAACCCTAGTCAAAAGAAGGGCATAAGACATGAAAGGACAATTTACCAAAGACGACATCCAGGCAGCCAACAACCCTATGAAGAAATGTTTGCATTTATTAGCAAAAAGAGAATGACAAATGAAAACAACAATGAGATTCCACTTCACACCAAAACTTCTAGCAAAACCCAATAAAGCAGAAATAAGAAATGTGGAGAGGATGCAGAGAGATGGGAACGCTTTTACCTCACGGGGAGATGGTACATGGTACAGCACTATGGAAACCGCTGTGGCACTTCCTTAGACAGATGCCAATACTAGTCCCTTATGATTCAGCAATCTCTCTACTGAGTATGCATCCTTAAGAAATAAAGAACACAACAGTAATTTCCAAAATATCAAAAAACATGGAAACAACCTAAAGCTCTGATTATAGAGGATTGTATCAATAAACTCTGGTATATTCATACCATGGAATATTATGCACCAATTAAAAAAACAATGACAATTCTCTTAAACACCTCAAGAGGTGGACCAAACTAGAGAACATTATATTTAGCAAACTTAGCCAATCTTACAAAGATAAATATTTAATAGCAACATTATTATAGGGAGAAAAAAAACGAAGAAAAAGAAACATGGTTTTCATGCAAAAGAGAAGACTTTGGCAAGGATGAGGAAGCCAGGGGCAGGGGCAGGGGCAGGAAGACGAAGGAGATGGGGTAGTGAAGAAGGGCAGGAGGAAGAATGGGGTGGAGCGAAAGAGAACCACATTTATGGGGGGTTTGAAGGGATACCGTTGCTGATTTCATTTGTTGAGATGGGTGTAACCTCACACAGTGTGCTGCTGTTACTTCCTCTTCTTCTTTTCTCTCTACAGCGTGCTTCTTTAAAAAGAAAAAAAGCAAGCATGAAGACTCACGGAGTGGAAAAATAGTCCTCCAGATTTCTTACCCCTCAGACCTAAGCACTGGTCCGAGTGACTAAAAAAAGGGGGGAAGTAAGACTGCCGTGGACCTGGAGTCTTTAGTGACATTCAAGTTCATTTCAAATAGCTGAAAAAATAAAATATTGCTGTGATGGCGGCAGGGTTTCAGTGGACTTTCTAGGCTAAGGAAGACGAGGAAGAAAGGCCTGGTGATCTACACCTGAAATTCACAATCGCTCCGTTCTGTTGTCCGTGGGCACTTGTCTGTTGTCCACTTGACAGAAGATAAAAGTGACAGGGAAAAAAA